GACTATAGACAATAGACTTTTCTATAGTCTTGTCTATAGTTATGTCTGTAGTCTTGTCTATGGTCTGGACTATAGTCTTGTTTAAAGTCTTGTCTATAGTTTGGAATATATTTAGTATCGTCTATAGTCTGGACTATATATTGTCTATAGTCAAGACTATAATCTTGTTTATAGTCCAGAATATAGTCTTGTCTATAGACTGGACTATGATCTTATATACTCTACACTATAGTCTTGTCTATAGTCTAGACGATTGTCTTGTCTATAGTCTGTAATATAGTCTTGGCTATAGTTTTGTCTATAGTCTGGACTATAATCTTGTCTATAGTCTATAGTCTTGTCTATATTCTAGACTATAGTCTTGTCTATAGTCTAGACTATAGTCTGGACTACAGTCTTGTCTATACCCTAGACTAAAGTCTTGTCTATACTCTAGACTAAAGTCTTGTCTATAGTCTAGACTATAGTCTTGTCCGTAGTCTGAACTACAGTCTTGTCTAAAGCCTGGACTATAGTCTTGTCTAATATTTCCACTATAGTCGTGTCTATAGTCTGGACTATAGTCTTGTCTAAAGTATACTCTAGACATAGTCTAGACTATAGTCTTGTCTATAGTCTGGACTATAGTCTTGTCTAAAGTCTGGACTATAGTCTTGTCTAAAGTTTCGACTATAGTCTTGTCTATAGTCTAGACTGTAGTGTTGCCTATAGTATTGACTATAGTGTTGTCTAAAGTCTTGACTATAGTTTGGAATATAGTCAATCTATAGTCTAGACTGTAGTCTTGTCTATAGTCTGGACTATAATCTTGTCTAAAGACTGGACTATAGTCTTGCCTAAAGTCTTGTCTATAGTCTGGAATATAGTGTAGCCCATAGTATGGACTATAATCTTTCCCATAGTATGGACTATAGTCTTGCCTATAGTATGGACTATAGTCTTGTCTATAATCTGGACTATAGTCCTATCTTTATTCTGGACCATATTTCTGTATAGTATCATGTCGACAGTTTACTTTGGTTTAAAAAGAATCCATACGAAAAAAGATGCTTCACTACTACCACACCTAACCCAACAATATGTTAGTCCCGATAAAAAAAACCAAATCGATTTTGAGATGGGTGTGGGAGTTTTAAAGTATTTTTTCCTTCCCAAAGACAACCACATGTTGCCCATTTGAAAAGTTGCCAAAAAAAAAAAAACATACAAAACGTACGTATTCTACGATGATGACGCTGTTGACCTTAAAATCAGTAGGTATCCGTTAAAATTATAATGGTGTCGGCGTGCAGATACTTATTGTAAGTATAGATTTACAGTTTTGCTTTCTTGCGCTAAAGAAGGAAAGAAAAACAAGAAACGGAACAAATACCAAAAAAAAAAATACACTCAAAGAGCAAACTAAGGGGGTAGAAAAAGGAAATGAGTGGAAAATCTAACTACATCCGATTGCGTTGGCGTTTCTAATTCAACATGTTTGCCATTTTTATCACAGCTTTTTTTTGAGAGTGTTGCTGTGTTAAAAAGTTTTAAGAATGAAATGCTATTTTTAGCAAACACAGACTTATTTATTCAAAAAAATACTATATAACTTAGTTGTTTGTGTGTTATTTTTGATAACGCTGTTGCTTTTTGCTACTGGGTGCCTATACTAACGTTGATGTTAGAGTGGGCCCTCTAACCTCAACAATACTTAAAACACACAGACGACAAGAAGAATATAATGGAAATAGTATAGAAATAAAAAAATGCTTTGTAATAACAATATGGTTTTAATATCCCTTCCTCCACATTCAAGTCCATCACTGTGCTAGCTTTACGTATGTATTACGTAGATAAAATAGATTATACCTTCTATACGTACGTATAAAAATGACAAACGTAACGTATGTTTAAAATCAAATGAGCCAGATACATTATATTTTCTTTGAAAAAAAATGAGATCTGAAAAAACCAAGTTATTAAATTGTATGTGGGTGAATTATTTTTATTATTATTTCGATACTTATAAACAGACTTTAATGAACTGTTACTTATAGGACGTTGACAAACTCTGTGTAATTTTTTCCAAAAGGCGTCATATTACTTGTGTAACACTACACAAGTCATATAGAGTGCAAACATATACATACTCACTTATCTACACAACATATTGACTATTTTGTTACAGCAATAAAATTATGAAATTTTTATAACATTACATTAGATCAGAAAGGAAGGTATGCGTAAAGCAAATAATAAAATTATAGAAGATTTTTCCCTACAGAATGTAGAACTGAACAAAATCTAAAATATAACTATAATAGAACAGAACTAGAACAGAACTAGAACAGAACTAGAACAGAACTAGAACAGAACTAGAACAGAACTAGAACTGAACTAGAACTGAACTAGAACTGAACTAGAACTGAACTAGAACTGAACTAGAACTGAACTAGAACTGAACTAGAACTGCACTAGAACTGAACTAGAACTGAACTAGAACTGCACTAGAACTGAACCAGAACTGAACTAGAACTGAACTAGAACTGAACTAGAACTGAACTAGAACTGAACTAGAACTGAACTAGAACTGAACCTAGAACTGAACTAGAACTGAACTAGAACTGAACTAGAACTGACTAGAACTGAACTAGAACTGAACTAGAACTGAACTAGAACTGAACTAGAACTGAACTAGGAACTGAACTAGAACTGAACTAGAACTGAACTAGAACTGAACTAGAACTGACTAGAACTGACTAGAACGAACTAGAACTGACTAGAACTGAACTAGAACTGAACTAGAACTGAACTAGAACTGAACTAGAACTGAACTAGAACTGAACTAGAACTGAACTAGAGACTGAAACTAGAACTGAACTAGAACTGAACTAACTGCACTAGAACGGAACAGAACTGAACTAGAACTGAACTAGAACTGAACTAGAACTGAACTAGAACTGAACTAGAACTGAATCTAGCACTGAACTAGAACTGAACTAGAACTGAACTAGAACGAACTTGAACTGAACTAGAACTGAAGTAAACTGAACTAGAACTGAACCAGAACTGAACCAACTGAACTAGAACTGAACTAGAACTGAACTAGAACTGAACTAGAACTGAACTAGAACGAACTAGAACTGAACTAGAACTGAACTAGAACTGAACTAGAACTGAACTAGAACTGAACTAGAACTAGAACTAGAACTGAACTAGAACTGAACTAGAACTGAACTTGAACTGAACTAGAACTGAACTAGAACTGAACTTGAACTAGAACTGAACTAGAACTAGAACTGAACTAGAACTGAACTAGAACTGAACTAGAACTAGAACTGAACTAGAACTGAACTAGAACTGAACTAGAACTGAACTAGAACTGAACTAGAACTGAACTAGAACTGAACTAGAACTGAACTAGAACTGAACTAGAACTGAACTAGAACAGAACTAGAACAGAACTAGAACAGAACTAGAACAGAACTAGAACAGAACTAGAACAGAACTAGAACAGAACTAGAACAACTAGAACAGAACTAGAACAGAACTAGAACAGAATTAGAACAGAACTAGAACAGAACTAGAACAAACTAGAACTGAACTAGAACAGAACTAGAACTGAACTAGAACTGAACTAGAACTGAACTAGAACTGAACTAGAACTGAACTAGAACTGAACTAGAACTGAACTAGAACTGCAACTAGAACTGAACTAGAACTGAACTAGAACTGAACTAGAACTGAACTAGAACTGAACTAGAACTGAACTAGAACTGAACTAGAACTGAACTAGAACTGAACTAGAACTGAACTAGAACTGAACTAGAACTGAACTAGAACTGAACTAGAACTGAACTAGAAACTGAACTAGAACTGAACTAGAACTGAACTAGAACTGAACTAGAACTGAACTAGAACTGAACTAGAACTGAACTAGAACTGAACTAGAACTGAACTAGAACTGAACTAGAACTGAACTAGAACTGAACTAGAAACTGAACTAGAACTGAACTAGAACTGAACTGAACTGAACTAGAACTGAACTAGAACTGAACTAGAACTGACTAGAACTGAATTAGAACTGAACTAGAACTGAACTAGAACTAACTAGAACTGAACTAGAACTGAACTAGAACTAACTAGAACAGAACTAGAACAGAACTAGAACAGAACTAGAACTGAACTAGAACTGAACTAGAACTGAACTAGAACTGAACTAGAACTGAACTAGAACAGAACTAGAACAGAACTAGAACAGAACTAGAACAGAACTAGAACAGAACTAGAACAGAACTAGAACAGAACTAGAACAGAACTAGAACAGAATTAGAACAGAACTAGAACAGAACTAGAACAGAACTATAACAGAACTGAACTAGAACAGAACTAGAACTGAACTAGAACTGAACTAGAACTGAACTAGAACTGAACTAGAACTGCACTAGAACTGAACTAGAACTGAACTAGAACTGAACTAGAACTGAACTAGAACTGAAGTAGAACTGAACTAGAACTGAACTAGAACTGAATTAGAACTGAACTGGAACTGAACTAGAACTGAACTAGAACTGAACTAGAACTGAACTAGAACTGAACTAGAACTGAACTAGAACTGAACTAGTACTGTACTAGAACTGAACTAGAACTGAATTAGAACTGAACTAGAACTGAACTAGAACTGAACTAGAACTGAACTAGTACTGTACTAGAACTGAACTAGAACTGAATTAGAACTGAACTAGAACTGAACTAGAACTGAACTAGAACTAAACTAGAACTGAACTAGAACTGAACTAGAACTGAACTAGAACTGATCTAGAACTGAACTAGAACTGAACTAGATCTGAACTTGAACTGAACTAGAACTGAACTTTTAATCTAAAACCAAAACTTTTTAATCTTCAATATCTTTCGAAAGCATCCTTCCCTTCGCTTAACTTATTTGCCCTTAAGTATAATTTTTTTCACTTTTCGCATGTCCTTTAATATTTGTCCTTTTTTTTTTTTTGAACGTTTTGTTCTTTGATTTTGTTTTCTCCTCACACTCTTTCTCTCACTCTCTGACAATTTTCTGTAGAACTCATTGGCGCCTTAGAAATTAATGTCCCCATTTTATTTGCCATTAAAAGCTCTTTAGTGTTAAACACGTGTTTAATATTTCCTACTTGATTTCCATAAAATTTTCATTAAAATACTTACAAAACAATATGGAGAAATAGCATCTCTGTTGATGGCTTATCGTGTAACAGTGGTTAGGAGTTAAGGGTGTAACAAATGAATTCATAGCTTACCTGTAAAGAGAAAAAGAAAATAGAAAATTATTATGAAATTATTGTTGGAAAATTTTGAAAGTATGTAATAGATAAAAGGAATTGAATTTTATTGGAGGTATTGGGGCTTACACGTGCCACAATCAAAATATATAAAGTTCATTCTATAGAATGGGTTTGGAACTAATTATTTTATCAATGATTTTTGTTAGAAAAAAAGGTTTGTTCATACTTCGATTCGAAAGAAAAAGCTTTCGAAACTCAAAGTATTTTTACATATAAATTCGAATATATTTGCACTCGAATCGAGTTTCAGTGTTACACCTCCCTGGTTCCTTAAAAACTCTTTAAACTTATTGTGGAACCATTACAATGTAGGGAATCTAAAATTTTCCTGTGCTTATCAATATGTGTAATCTGAAAATAATTTAGATTCAAAATATTGACTTTAGTCTAAAAACAATGTATGGATGTCATAGACACATATGTATATGTATGTTATCAGGTAAAAATACATATTTAAATAGGTGTTAAGTATAAACAAACAACTTGACACCTTTAACTTCTTCATATGGAAAGTAACAAACAAATTATTTTCCAATTGTTGGCAAATTTCATCATGCTGACGCTAAACTCTATGAATAAATAATGCAAACTTCTCTCCCTACCACCATCACTCCTTCCTGCTTCAGCCTTAAAACCCCAAGAGAATTGCCAAAAAAAAGAAATTTATACATAACATTACAATATCCAAAAATTGTATTTAACACTTGTTGTTGTGTGAATATCTTAAATTACCGATGGGTTTGTTTTGACGTCATACAACCCAAAAATCTAACGAAAAAAAATCGCATGTATCCATCACAACAGCAGCAGCAAAAAAAAGTCAAACATCTGGAAACGTATAGTAAGTAGTAGAAATATTCAAACCTACGTCATTCATTCACAGAAAACAAAAACAAATAATGACACAAAAAACAACAACAGCAATGGAGTGTAAGTGTAGATAAACATTCTCTCAAATCATGCGACAAAAGATGCGATATTTTTCATTTCCACTCTACTCTTGGGTCCATATTTCATTCATAAATACGAATTTCGTTTAGTAGTAGAATACTCTAGTAACAGTTAAATAAATAAATAATAACACAACGTTGAGTGAAATATTTCTTGTTATAGAGTAAATAAAACATAAATGGAAAAAATTATAAATACGCACGTACATCGGGGATGTATGGCCTTCCACAATTGTTCCATTATTTTGGTACATTTCAATAGAGAAAAAAGTACTATGTAATAATATTTTAACTTCAAGAGTTGTAACTAGTTTTGATCGAGCCAAAATACCAGTCGTCATATATCTTCAAAAATCACCAGTCATACGTCTTAAGTGATAATGACTTTCTTTAATTCAGACATGCATAGCGACTGACAACTAAGTTATTTTCAGAAGGTGCCTAATGTAGCCTTATCTCAGATCTATGTTCTATAATATGTATGCACAATTTTATCACAAAAGATATTTATTAGGCCCCTAAGAGGGTATTAACTATGGACCATACTCTATGGAGTATGGTCCATACTTTAGATCATGATATCTCGAAAACCAGATGTAATAGAGAGAGATTCGAATTCAGAGCAGAACTATGTTTTAGAAAAATGTACTCGAACTTAATTAATTATCAGAATACAGCTGGTGTTTAGAGACGCATAGTGCAGATAACAAGGTATAGTTTTCAGCTAACCCAGCAAAAGTTTTACAGGGACTTGATGCGATATGTTTTGCTGACATGATATACCAATTGCCCCAAAACATGGGTTTTCACTACTTCAACTTTCCATTTAGTTATTCTGGTCTTATCACTCCCCCCGGGATATGTTACCTTGATGATTGGGGTTAAAAAGGTGCTACCAATACCTGTAGTCTGCCACTAGTCTGAAAACAAATGTATCCTCGGCCTTCCTTCGAATGATTTGACCTGGGGTCATATCAAGCAGACTAATAATCTGGGACCACGGGAACCGGTAGCCAACAGGCAAAGTTTCGGACTTGTCCCGGTTATTGGAGAGTTCCTTTCAGTGGCTGTACTTTAAAACCAAACTCGCGGAAAAATACTGTTGGTTATAAGACTGATACATGGTAAAGTCTCTAATTCGGGATATGTTAGGAGATGTTGCCGAGACAACACATACCCCGAAGAGTAGTAACTGTGAAACTAAGCATTGGAAATGAGTTGGTGTCAAGTGCATATAATATGGGATGGATATAGGGGCATGCGGGCCACAAACATCCGCAGACCTAGAATGTATATATCGCATGAATGTTAGTAAGGACAAGTCCTCGACTTATTAGATGGATTCGTATTTCGGTCTAGCGATTACGTCTCTAGATGAATATTTCTATAGAATAGCTGCTCAGATAGAGCTGAACTTTTCTATAGAAAAGTTGTTCAGATTGAACTGAACTTTTCTATAGAATAGTTGTTCAGATCGAACTGAACTTGTCTATAGAAAAGTTATTCAGATTGATATTAACTTTTCTATAGAAAAGTTATTCAGATTGATATTAACTTTTCTATAGAAAAGTTATTCAGATTGCGATAAACTTTTCTATAGAAACATTGTTCAGATTGAGATGAACTTTTCTATAGAACAGTTGTTTAGATTGAGATGAAATTTTCTATAGAAAAATTATTCAGATTGAGATGAGCTTTGCTATAGAACAGTTGTTTAGATTGGGATGAATTTTTCTATAGAAGAGTTGTTCAGATTGCGATGAACTTTTCTATAGAAGAGTTGTTCAGATTGAGATGAACTTTTCTATAGAAGAGTTGTTCAGATTGAGATGAACTTTTCTATAGAAAAGTTGTTCAGATAGAGATGAACTTTTCTATAGAAAAGTTGTTCAGATTGAGATGAACTTTTCTATAGAAAAGTTGTTTAGATTCGAAAAATTTACAATTAAATTAGAAAAAGTACCTTTTTAGTACTAATTTTTCAGGGTGCAATTTCTAGACTTTTCTAACACAACACTGATATAGTACTACACACATTATTGCTATTTAAATATTATTGTTATTAACCGGAAGCCCAGCGCAATAGAAAACAAACGAAAAAAATAACGTATAAAAAGAAGAGAGAAATAAATGTGGTCAGTAAAGGTGACACAAAAACGAGAGAGTACAAAAAAAAAAAAACAAAACAAACATTTGCTAAAATGAGTGCTTTTTACAGTTACAAAATTATACTCAAATAACAAAAGGATTTTTGAGACAATCTCACCAATTAAGCCCAGAGAGTCCTTTTTATGACCTTTATACATCTATAAGATTTTAATACTATTTCTATGGCAAAATTTTTAAGAAATTGTACAATTATAAATAATTTTGCAAAATTCTAACAAATTCTAGTTAAATTTTTAGTTAAAAACTAAAACATATGTTACATTTTTGTAACAAAAATCCGTAACTGCGTATTGGCACTTTCTAGAAACTACCAACAAAGTTAGGATTTTTATAAAAAAAAAAAGAGAGAAAGCTTTTGCCGCTCTCCAGCTGTTAAATTGCAATATTTTTCATGTTTTAATCTAACAAAATTATGCCGGTTCATATTAAACATAAGTGGGTGTGTATAAAAACCCCCATTTATCTCTTCCCTGTTAAAAATTTGGAGCACTCATAATGACTCATAGTTTTCATAATAACACCCTGAGTCGTTTAGCCCCGAAAAAAATCAAATATTTTTGTGCGTTTTAGTTTCCTAATAAACGTAAACATATGTTTAGCTTATTTTATAAAATTTCAGGTTATTTTTTTATGTAAACTGAAAGTAAAAGACCTACCTCAAGTCGTGGTAATGAAGGACTTTCATTTTATAGGTGTTTTGTTTCTCAAGATCTGTAGCATTCATTTTGAAATCAAGTGTATGTTTATAAATACTGGAAAATTTATTGGTTTCTGTTTAACCTAATTACTAAATATTTATTTATTCTTATTTAGTAGTTTTTAATATAGATATATCAACATATTTTAATAATATTTAGTTTTTTTCTTTTTTCTCAAACATTGCATGGCAACTTTTTAAACAAGTACGAGTGCCAGCAACATTGTTGCAAACATGTTTCTCATAATTTATAAAATGATTCAAAATGTTACACTGAGACCTTTAGGAACGGCACAAAAGAGAAAAAGTTATTCGATTGGCAATATGAAATTTTATCTACCTCCAGTAACGAACTAACTAACTAACTACCTAACTAACTAAACTAAACTACTAACTAACTACAACTATCCGAACTTAACTACCTAACTTAACTAACTAAACTAAACGAACGACTACTAACTAACTACCGAACTACTAACTAAACGAACAAGAACTAAACGAACTAACGAACGAACGAACGAACGAACGAGAACGAACGAACGAACGAACGAACGAACGAACGAACGAACGAACGAACGAACGAACGAAACGAAAACAAAGAACAACGAACGAACGAACGAACGAACGAACGAACGAACGAACGAAAGAACGAACGAAACGAACGAACGAACGAACGAACGAACGAACGAACGAACGACGAACGAACGAACGAACGAACAACGAACGAACGAACGAACGAACGAACGAACAACGAACGAACGAACAACGAAACGAACGAACGAACGAACGAACGAACGAAAACGAACGAACGAACGAACGAACGAACGAACGAACGAACGAACGAACGAACGAACGAACAAGAACAAGAACGAACGAACGAACGAACAACGAACGAACGAACGAACGAACGAACGAAAACGAACGAACGAACACGAACAAAAAAACGAACGAACGAACTAACGAACGAACGAACAAACGAACGAACGAACTAAAACGAACGAACGAACGAACGAACGAACGAACGAACGAACGAACGAACGAACGACGAACGAAGAACGAACGAACGAACGAACTAACGAACGAACGAACGAACGACGAACGAACGAACGAACGAACGAACGAAACGAACGAACGAACGA